CATAAATGGTCTTGGATAACCAGTCACTATATGTATTCTAGGTGGGAGTCCTAAGGGATCTGGCCATGTGCCTGTCCCCCATATCACTTAAGGACTTGTGCAGTTATCATCCAGTTAAACAGATCTGCTCCGTTGCTTCACTCTGGCTGAGGACTTGTCTGCATATTTTGACACAGATATACTTTACGCAGGTTCTACTATATAACATTATGGTATTCTTATTTTTCTGACGTCATGGGATGCTCTGTTAGGGGATTGCAGTGTTACCATGAAAGCCAGTGGGGGATGAATGAAGGGTTTCAAGGACAGAAAGACATGACAAGGCCAGCCATCGTGGTGCACATCTATAATCCCAGGACTTGGGAGGCTGAGGCAGGAGGACTGCCATGAGTTCCAGGGCAGCCTGAGATACATAGTGAATTCAAGGCCAGCCTGAACTATATAGTGAGACTTTGTTTTAAAAAATCCAAAAACGTGAACAGACTTGTACATTTTTGATGATTACTCTGGCAGAAGTGAGCAGGTTAACTTGAAAAGACTCTAGCTGGAACCAGAGAGACCTAGAAAGGAGAATATGTAATATTGAAAAATCAGAACCATCAAAGCTTGCATGGGTATGGAGGCGTGGAGGGAGAATACGTGTATAATGTCTCCCAAACTTCAAATCTGAGCAATTATTGATGCAGGAGTTTGAGGCCTGTCAGTTACTGAATTGGAGATGATAGGAGGAATAAGATTTAAAAAGCTGTTGAACTCAGTTTTGAGCACACTGAGTGTCTCGGTTACTTTTCACTCTTTGCTGGGGCAAAATACCTGACATCTAAAATTAAGAAAAGAAAGGATTATTTAGCTGACAGTTAGTGGAGGTTTCAGTCCATACTCCGCTGACTCTAAGGCAGACTAACAATGGCAGAGGGCAGCCGTTCATGGTGGTGGTAAACAAGGAAAAACAAAGGGTGAAGAAGCAGCTGCAGGGTCTAGAAAGCCTCTCTTCCTTCCAGGCAGACTGGGAAGATGGAAGACCAGAGCTTCTCTGAGGAAGTGCCTCCCTTCCTACTTCCTCATCCCCTTTACATACCCCTTTTGTGCTGAGTCACTCTAGGGCATGGAGTCACTGAGATGATCCAGCCAAGCTTCCAACCCCGCAGGTTGACAGAGCGTATCAACCAGCACACTGAGTTTAAGGGAGACATGAGCAATCGTTCTAGTAAATGGATGTAGAATTCAGCAGAATGGGGCTTAGGGACTCTTTTGTCTCTGGGACTATTTGCACCACATTCCCAGCCTCTGCTTGGGTGATTGTTCAAATTTTTTTCAGCTGTCTTGCCTATACACTGTCTTTTTTGTCCTTGTTTTGAGATAAAGTCTTGCTGTGTAGTTCAGGCCAGTCCTGAACTTACTATGTAATCCACATTGGCCTCAAACTTGAGATCTTCCTGCCTCAGCCTCCTGAGTGCTGATATTATAAACTTACATCACCATGCCCAGCTGTCTTGTTTTCTTGCAATATAAAATGTAGCTTGCCTGCTGCATTTGTAACTTCAATATTTAATTTGCTCTTTCTCTTTTCATAGTATACTTTGGATATCCAAGTCTAGGCCCTTATTTAGGGTTTTGTGTAGAGGTTACATGCTGAAGCAGGCCAGGAAAATAGGAAGAGGTGCATTTTTTTTTTTCTCTTGTTCTCTTTGGTACAATGAGTCAATTCTCTTTAGAATTGGAGTTATAAAAAACAAAGTTATGAGGAAATAAGAATTAATAGAGAACCGTGGTATAATCTACAGAAGGTAAAACAGACTGGGTTCCTTAGGTAAGAAAAGAAGTGCGGTTTAATATATGTTAAACTGGATTTATTTTGCTTTGCTTAGAAGGAAACTTTTTTTAAAAATGTGTTTAGGACAGGGTCTACAGGATCTCACTACGTAGATCAGACTCCTAGTGATGCTTCTGTTTTTCAGCCTCCCAAGAGCTGGGTTACAGGCACTGGCCCAGTCACAAAGGCATTCTCGTTGAGCTCCTGGGGCAGGGCCGGCATGGTCTGCCGGGGATGGAACCCCAGTCACTGCATTGTCTAAGCAAGCGCTTTATCAGAAGGAAACTTTTAATGTCCTTTCATTTATATATTTTTTGAAATAATGGGAATTTATCCTAGGCCACTTGTATGGTAGGCCAGTGCACCTTTGATGAGCACACCCTGACTTTCTTCTGTAGTATTTTTTTAAACTTCAATATTCAGTTGAGGGGCCATGGGAAGAGAGGAGGGGTTGCTACCTTTTGCTGCTCCTCTGCTCTACCACTGCTGTTTCAACTACAGCCATCCAGTTTGCATTACATAGGCTTTCATTGAAGGACTCTGTAGCCTTTTAAAAAGGTGCTTAAGTTTGATCCACCACTATTTTATGCAGAAATTAGGAAGACAGATGATCAGATTAGTAAAGGAAGAGTTCAGAATGAATAAAGGAAACAAAGAGTACCTTAGCTACTTTCCTCTTGAGACAAACTACCGGATACACAAAGTTAAAGAGTAAAGGTTTGTTTTGGCTCACGGTTTGTAAAATTCAAGCTCATAGTTGGCTGGCTCCGAGGCAGCCTGGCATGACAGAGGGCCACTGCAGAGGAGAAGCAGTTCCTAGTACGTGGAAGGCAGCAGAAACAAGCGAGCAAGCAACCAGCAAGTGGCAGCCTCTTTCTGCCACTTAGGGAAGGTAGCACTCACACCCTTAGCCCTAGAACTGCACCAAGAATCAACACACTAGAGCCAGGCACCTCTTAAATACCACACCTCTGACTGCAGGAGGCTTCTTCTAGACAGGAGCTGTAACATACACAGGAGATTACTGCAGACAGCTTCACACTGTTCTTTGTACTAACACAACAGAGTACACCTCTAGTCCATTTTAATAGTTGATGTACTTGTGTTCCCCCCACCTTAGCTTCTCAGAGGCAATTCATGAAATTTAGTTCTGCATGTCAATGTTTGGCACAGTAAGAGCTTCACAAATGTCTGTTGAATTAGTAATTTGAGGTATTTCAGCAGTGTACCCCTATTTTGAGAAAAGTCTGAAGGGGGATGTAAAAGGTATGTGCTTAAATAAGAGGGTGAAAGATGCAGTATTTTGATGTTGTTTGTTTTGTTCTCTGTTTTTGTGTGTGTACTGTGTGAGGAGACGGCAGAAAAAGTATCTCCCAAGTAACAGAGTGAATGTCTTAATTACAATGTCTTGAATTAGTGGACTAATAAAATTTATAACCAATATATTAGGATGTGACATTTAATGTGTGTATTGCAACAGGGAACAAATATCAAATTGACTTTTTTTTTTTGATACAATGAAACAATGATCCATATGCGATTTTGGTATAACTGTTGTCAGGAAAAATGTTCAAGTATTGTAGGCAGCTAAACTGGATAAAAATTAAAACAGAGTGGGACTGATTGGGCCCTTGGAAAGTTGGCACAGATGAGACACCAAGCTTGCAGCTGGAGGCGGATGTGAGCAGCCAGGTCTGCCGGCCTCCCCGGACATAAACAACCTGAGATGATAGCGTACCGGAACATCCCTTGTACTCCTTCCTTTTCAAAAATGCCTTTGTGCTTTATATACCCTTACTAAATCAACCTATGTTAGCTACGACCCACGTTGTGATTTTGCCGACAAATTACACCTGCACAAGGGCCTCAGCGGCCAATCGTTCAGGAGTCCCCATGGAAACCCAAGCGCTACTCTTCTCCTTATTTCCAATAATAGCTTCCTCTTTTGGTTTGAAACTACAAACTCCGCACACCTGACAACATCCAACAGGCTGGGAGTTACATTTTGCACAAGGACATCAGGAGCACTAACGTCCTCCAACGGCGAGCAAATATGGTTTCCCTCGAGTTATCAAAACTGCCTATCTTCTCCTGTTTTTGGTAAAAATATTCTTGGCCCAAATCAGAAAACCTAAAACGTGTTCAAACAAAACCCCCGGCTTGAAACGTAAAGCCGGGTCCGCGGCTGGGTCCCCTCCTGGCCGCGCGCCGACCCGGGTCCCCCAGTCTCTTGGGGCCCGCGCCCGCTGCCGCGCGCTGGAAGCCTCGCTCCGCAGCACCCCGATTCCACCGCGCGCCCCCGCCGCACCCCGACCC